CTATCGCCGACACAAAGACGCAAAGTCTTGTTTCTGCTTCGAGAGTTCCGTTCTGCCTTCGATTGCTCTCAACCATCTTTGGGTCGCACAGTGAACATCACGCACCACATTGACAGCGGTACTCATGCTCCCTTACGCCAAGGACCATATCGAGTTTCAGCGGAAGAGCGCCGTATTATCAACGAACAAGCCGACGATATGCTCAAGCGTGGTGTCATCCAGCCATCGCAGAGCCCTTGGTCGTCCCCTGTTGTACTTGTGCGCAAAAATGATGGGTCTATCAGATTCTGTGTTGACTACCACCGGCTCAATAAGATAACTCGTAAGGATGTGTACCCGTTGCCACGCATCGACGATGCTCTCGATATCTTGCAAGGAGCAGAATATTTCTCCTCTTTAGATTTACCCTCAGGATATTGGCAAGTTCCAATGGCTGATCCTGACCAATCGAAGACTGCATTTGTAACACCTGATGGGCTGTATGAGTTTAACGTCATGCCGTTTTGACTCTGCAATGCCCCAGCTACCTTCGAACGGATGACGGACACCATCCTTCGCGGCTACAAGTGGAACACGTGCCTCTGCTACCTAGGAGATGTCGTCGTTTTTTCTTGCGACTTTTCGACTCACCTTGTTCGTCTTCATGCTATTCTCATGTGTCTCACCTCTGCTGCCCTTCAACTTAACATCAAGAAGTGCCATTTTGCCGCACGTCAGCTCACTATACTGGGTCACGTCGTCTGCAAAGAGAGTGTTCTCCCGGATCCGGCAAAACTCCGCGCCGTGGCCGACTATCCGAAGCCCAATTCCATCAAGACGCTTCGAAGTTTTATCAGCCTGTGCTTATACTTTCGTCAATTTGTGCACAACTTCTCTTCCATCATCGCGCCTCTTACCAACCTGTTGACAACTTCCAAAGGCATTTCTGCTTGGTCAAAAGAGTGCGACGAATCCTTCACCGCGCTTCGGCGGTTATTATTATCACCTCCAATACTACGTCATTTTGACCCCGATGCGCCTACAGAGGTCCACACCGACGCCACTGGTGTCGGTCTTGGTCTTGTATTGGCTCAACGAAAATCATGATACCAAGAATACGAGGTTGCTTACGCAAGTCGAACCCTCAAGAAAGCCGAGTGTAATTATTCCGTCACTGAGAAAGAGTGCCTCGCAATTGTCTGGGCTTTGACGAAGTTCCGCCCATACCTTTATGGCCGCCCTTTCGAAGTCGTCGCGGACCACCACGCTCTATGCTGGCTATCATCGCTCAAAGACCCGTCGGGGCGCCTTGGTCATTGGGCGCTTCGCCTAAAGGAATACGACATTCGTGTTGTATACCGATCCGGCCGCAAGCACTCCGACGCTGATGCGCTATCTTGCTCGCCGCTACCGGCTGACCCAACCTCCTCGTCACCTTCTTCAGCTGTCATAACACCAATCGACTTCACTGACATGGCATCGGAACAATGCAAAGATGTATGGATTTCCCAACTCCTCGCTTTTCTGACTGATCCGTTAGCTAGTTCGATCTCAAGAACTATCCGCCGTCAAGCCATATATTTCGCTATTCGGGACGACCTCCTCTATCGGCGGAATTACACGCCTGAAGGTCGGAGGTGGCTGTTATTGATACCCAACCACATGCGCTCGGAAATCTGTACTGCTTTCCACAACGACCCGCAAAGCGCTCACGCCGGCGCTCTCAAAACGTACAACCGTCTACGTGAGCGGTACTACTGGCGCGGCATGTACACATTTGTTCGCAAGTACATACGTGCTTGTACTGAACGCCAGGGACGTAAAGCCCCACTTCAACGCCCTGCCGGTACACTTCAGCCTCTGCCTTGTCCAGCGCGTCCATTTGACCGCGTCGGTATCGACTTATACGGATCACTTCCCATGTCGTCTTCTGGAAATAGGTGGATAATTGTCGGCGTGGACCACCTCACGCGTTATGCGGAGACGACAGCACTACCCACAGCAACCGCAAAGGAAGTTGCGTTTTTCATCTTGCGCAGCTTTGTTCTTTGCCATGGTGCTCCCCGCGAACTTTTGAGCGACCGGGGGCATGTTTTTTTGTCTGACGCCATTCAAGCCTTGCTCGCTCAGTGCAACATGGTTCATCGCATGACGACAGCATATCACCCGCAGACGAATTGCCTCACAGAAAGATTTAATCGCACTCTCGGTGATATGTTGACGATGTACACAGCTTCAGACCAGACCAATTGGGACACTGTCCTTTCATTCTTAACGTATGCGTATAACACCGCTACGCACGCGACAACAGGGTTTTCCCCTTTCTTTCTGTTGTACGGACGCGAACAATCGTGCACGCTGGACACTATCCTCCCATACACACCCGACTCCTCTGAGTACACTGCAATTTCTGATGTTGCCAGGTATGCAGAAGATTGCAGACGATTGGCCCGTTCACTGACAACCGAGGACCAAGGCCACCAGAAGCTACGGCATGACACCGACCGACATCTCTCTACTTTCACAACTGGTGCTCACGTTTGGCTCTGGATTCCACCAAGTACTCCTGGCCTTTCATCGAAATTACTGGCACGATACCACGGGCCCTACCGCATTCTCACCCGTACGTCACCAGTCAATTATGAGATTGAGCCTTTGACACAGTCTGATGACTTACGCCGTCGTGGCCGAGAAATTGTGCATGTTAGTCGCATGAAGCCGTATTACGACCCCGCTATAGTGACTACGCCTTAACTCGCCAGGTTGGCTACGCTATTCACCGGGGGCCAATGGAGGGAACTATGCGAACTATGACGAAGCAGCAAGAAACGACAAGCCACAGCGTTGGTGCACACGCGCGACCCGAGCTTGCGCTTGTTTTGTATTTTCGGCCTGTTGACATTCCTCGCTCTTCTAGCGTTCTTCGGCCTTCCAGTAGAGCTGTACGTAAATAAACTATGTGACACTAATTATAGTTCATTAAATCTCAACTTTTATAGTGATTATTCATTAAGTGTAATGACCTGTTTGCAAAACGTTTTCAGAGCCTGATCAAACAGTGAAAGTTATGCAGCTGAGCTGATGGGTGTGGGTTTGATATTTGGTCATAATGGTCACATTTTCATTTAGGCAAAATGCAAAAACGTCTGTGTAATTACATCTATGTTCTCATTAAAGAACCCCTACGTCGTCACAATTAATGTCGGGTCTCTCATGACAGTGTGCCTCATAATTATATAGTGGTTTTAGCACGATAAACTCCAGAGAAACCAATTCTCTAGAGTTTGCAAGCGTCACAAATTTAGCTGCATATAGACCTTATTTCTTTGCAATTGGTTGCCATTGCAGTTCAAGCAGAATTAGTGCCAAATTTTACCACAGCTTTCAAAGTGTAGTTCCACTATGAACGCGCTTGTTCGCCACTGTATCTTGTTGTCTAATTTGACTGTGAGTTTGATTTATCATTTGGTGCTCATTCTAAGAATGACTGGCAATTTCACCACTGTCACTCGATATTCCAACTCTTATAATGGTGCCTTTTCATTTAAAAACAACATTGACAACAATCATAAAGTATATTCCATCCATAGCATGCACTTTGCATGGACCTCAAGCAAGACATGAAGGCATTTCTCTTTCACATAATTTGTATTTTGCATAAGAGGTAGAGGATGAAACATAGATTTTCTAGTAAAGTTACTAAAACCTTCTGTTTATCTGGTAAAGTAAGAGTGTGATAACCATGTGGTTTGTCTGGAAAGGTTGGGGATGAGTAGTGTGTTGTCATCTGCCTAATTTGCTGCTCTCTTTTTTTTTACTGTGCTCCGTGCCGTGACATTTTTTTGTTACTGTTTAGAGCTCTAGAAAATGTGCATATGTCTGTTAGTATTGTTAGTGATTTTACTTTTTATGTAACACTTAAAATATTACATTAATAAAAATTTGAACCACATATAATCATTGAAAATTTGCTGCTGACGTTATGTTGGGCCTTGTGCATAAAAGTTTCAAATAAAAAATCTTTCTAATATAAGCCAATTCTCGCTTCTAAAAGCTTTTGTGCCATGTTGACATGTACATGGTTATCTGACCTGATTTATGAAGTTGCTTACTGTAATACTGTTTTGAAACACCACTGTGTGCTTAGATTTAGGTGCACGTTAAAAGAACCCTAGGTGGTCGAAGTTCTCAAAGCCTTTCACTACGGCATCTCTCATAATAATATGGTGGTTTTGGGATGTTAAACCCCAATAATTATTGTGCTGTGAAATACCAGCTTTTAAACAAAACAAAAATATAGCTCTTTTTGTGATTGCATAAGCCATTTCTATGAGCCTGAATTTATATGAAGCTGTAATAGAATGCCTGATAAGGGCTTTGTTTCATTTTCATGTTCTCCAAATGCTTTTTGTTTTTATAAATGCATCTTGGACCTATAATTGAAATATATATTAGTGAAGTTCCAGTCACTATGGTCTTCTTTTTTTTATTATTATTAGTTAAGCTTCACCACAGTGCAGTATATTAGACATGGCTTGTGTTTTTTTTTTTCTATTTAATGTTCTGAGCACCTGGTGTGGATCATCTGCTTCTGGCGGGAAACAAGCCAAGAACGTATCACTCTGGCTGAAAAAATACTAGTATCTACAGCAGATATAATCTGAGCATGTTTAGACACTTAAGCCAAGTACCCAGCCTGTAGATATCTCCTTACATACATGTTTTTTTGTGTGTGTGCAAGTTCTGTGCAAGTTCTGTGCTGTGTAATGGGAATATTATACAGTTTAGTACTGCTAAATTGGTTGATTTTTTATGAACACCTGATAAGCATTGGAAGTCCGTGTGTGGAGGAAGTATTGATGCTGAATTTGTGACTCGTAAAGGAAGTCTACTTGTTAGCCAACCCTTGTGTGGCATACCGAAAACTTAGGCATTATCCAGGTTGCATTTATATGTGCCATACTTGACTTCAGTTCCAAAATATTTTTCCAATCAATCCTGAAGCCACTGTTTACTTTCAGATTCAAAGCTCTTGTAAGGATGATCGTGACATAGAGGAATGCCTAAAGACACATTTCCAAAATCGTGACATCAAAAACCCAGAGTGTAAGAAGGTATGCTTCATGATTTTATAGAAAGTTTAATTTTTTTCAGTGTTTCAACATTTCTTCAACATTTCAAAATGACTGCAATTGTTTATTCATTTTGATTACAGGAGGTTGCTCGTCTCATACATGAAGGCAAGGCTGACGTTCAGGCAGATCCTATTCTATACAAAGCATGTTTGCATGACATTAAGCATTTCTGCCATGATCTCACTCCTGGCCAGGGTCACTGTAAGTACCTGTTACCTTTTCTGCCCTTCATTCTCATAATTTAGCTATGAACAGTCTGCATATTGTCTTTGCCATTTCATTATGTGCAAAATGCTAACTATGTGCTGAGGGCGGACTGCTTTGTTGCCCCTTCAAGGGAGCTGCATCACAGCTTGATCCTTTAATTTTTTTAGTTTTTAAAACCATTTAGTGTTATCAAAGGATGAAAAGATTTAGAGCCTATTTATTTCCAGCACAACTACTTCTTGAAGACTTCTTTCTTTATGAATATATGATACTAGGACATGCATTGTGCCAGGAGCTCCAAGCCATGGAATTGATGAACGTTCCTAGAAAAGTGCTTTGAATTGCATTTTATCTTTGTCATTTTCAACAGATAAGCCTATTGTTAGCATTACATTTCAGTAACATTGACCTTAAAATTATTGAAAGGAAAGCTTCAACTAATGCAGAATACCACATAGGTAACATTGGGATTCACTATTTGCAGTTTGCAAAATTGCATGTGACTATGCTTAAGGCTACGAATCCTGTGGCACTTGTTTCTTGTTTCTTCCTTAGTGCTTTCATGCCTTCTGACGGGTTTAGAGTCGGACACGATTGCCTTGACAGAGGAGTGTCGAACGCTGCTTTCAAAACGAGTGGAAATGTTTGAATATGCTGCTCAGGTAGGTCTATGCTGACTTGCTTATAGTGAGATACTAGGAAGTTGTGCAAAATATAGCCTCATTGTATTTTGGTGAATTTCTGACTTTCTTACTTTTTCCTATTAGGTGGCGCCCGTGGAGTCTATTCGAGATGTAGTGCAACAAATTGCTAACTCTCCTTCACGGAACTACTTCGTAGTGGTAGCCATGGGTGTGTTAGGCATCATCTTTGTAGGGGGATTGTTCTGTGGCCGTGTCACCAAGAGGCTTCCAGCAAACCTCAAGAACAAGTGACATGGGCAGTTGTAGAAGCACAAGACCAACAATGAGTGAAAATGATGCAATCTGCCTGCGGAAAGACCTTGCCGTAGCTCGCATAACTGGAGTCATTGCAGCACTGAAATTCACATGCCTCATCAAAGGCCAGCCAAAGTTTCACTTGTGAACATTGTTGGAGCTGCCTTAGCTGCAACATTCATTCATGCATAACTTGACAACCACAGCGTGATGATTTTGTGAGAGCAAAGGCCTTTCCTACCTACTTCAACATTGCTGCCATGTCAAACCTAGTTGTGTCACTTGTATGAACGATTGACTGAGTACTGAAATGTCGACGTGCTATGTTTGTGGCCCATGATTGCGTTTGATGTCATATTTCTATATTTTTTTTTAGTATTGTCGTTTTGGAGTCATAGAGAGTTAGGTTGCTTCGAAAGTGACACTTGGTTGTCAGGCATGTTTACTCAGTTTAAAATATTCTGTAAATTTGTGCGGTGTATTGAGTGATACCATCACTGAAGTAATATCTCACTCTAGTGGGCATTCTACAAAAGCTGCATTTTTATCTTTATTGTTATTGTTGTATCTATTATTTTCACTTGTCTTCGGTTTTTTCGACGTGTTACCCTCAGTCATCTTAGGGCACACTACAGATGACCTCAGAATTAATGTGCAATCAATTTGTGCACGACGTATTTTTTCTAATGTCTCAGAGAGGCCAGGATATTTACATTTGTTCAATTGTCCTGCTCCACTTTTCTTTGTCACCATTTCTTGTTGGTGTTTTATATAATTATGAATGCTTTGTATACTCTAATACATATATTACGTGGTATTCTTGTGAATGGCACTAGATGTTTAATCAGTGTGCTATTGTTTTTACACCTTTTTAGCTTCAGGCATGTTTACAAGCAAATTATAAAAATGAGCTTTATTGCTTCTTTATACAGGGTTTTTCCAACTTTGTTATTGCTTCGGCTTCTTTTAGCTTAACATTTTCAACTCCCTTGTGGTATCCATGTTTTCTTAGGTGGCCTTTATTACTGATGAATTAGCGACACATCTTTAAGACTTAGAAGATCATGCTAATATTTCTTCACTAAAAATTGTTTTGCACTGTAATCTAGTCTTTTTATTACATGCTACTATTATGTATAATCTGAAATTTTCTTGACATGGTATTGCAGTGTCACCTTGCTGGACATATTATCGCATTGATTCATTAGGCCTGGTTTGTGCTTTTCTGGAAATCTTTACATTAGGGGCATCAACTGCGGCTTTCTTGTACGGCAACAACTAATGGCAGTACTCTTACTTTGCATGTCATTGGGAAAAGATTCTGTTGTACAAATATAATGTAGTGAAATATTGAGACTTAATTCAAATGACCACCCGTCCAGTGCTACACATTCATTGGTCATAGGCACAATTCAGTAGCTTTGACCAAAAACTCGTCATTGCTTTCCTCAAAATCAAGGAGCTTCAGTGTTGTAAATAATGTTTACAAAGCTTATTGTGTGAGAAATTCTTGCCATAAATGCCCTGGATGCTTTTGTTTTGGCATGTGTTTGTGAGTGGTACTGTATTAGTGCTTTGTTTATTTGTTCTTAAAAACATTCGCTTGGCTTTGTTTCTAACTGTGTGATGCACTAAAATTGCTTCCTTTTGTCAACACATCTGTGCATTTCTCTGAAATTTTTGTTATTTTTTTGTCTGGAATCATCCAGCTCTTGGCACAGTCATTAAGTCTCTTACCAAAAAATTCACACATGGCCTCTTCCATAATACTTTTATTCCAAGCTTGTGAAAGAGATGCAACTGCCTGTGAAACTTAGGGTAATGTTATATTACAGGCTGTTTGCAGGGCTGCATAAATAACATTCACTATTTCAATCAAAGAGAACAGCATGGGAATGTTTTGACGGCTTAGAGATATAACTGAATTGTGTAAAGTTGCACAAATGTTAAGATAGCTATCATGGAAATTCAAACACCTGCATTGTTTTTTTTTTTGTTTTTTTTACCTTGGGTACTAGTTCACTATAGACCTCTACCGGGGGACGTCACAGCGTGACGTCACTGGCGCACGTGCAAGGTATGGTTGGCAAAACACCCCCGCTGGTAGCTTAGTGCGGTTCTTTCGTGTGCTGTTTGGGGCAAGTTTTTTTTCTTTTTCAAAGCTTAAACTTCATGTTACAGTGATGGCATTAGCTGTAGTATGTGTCAGAGAACATCTAGCTGTGTGGTAAACTGCGTGATAAAATATTTGCCACACTGGCAGACTGTTTGTCTTCAAGAAGTGATCACATGTGGCAGCCTGTGCGAGGAACAGTGGCATCGTCTTTGAAAATGTGCAGTGTTGATTGTGGCATGTAGTGTGCGTTGAAAGGCATTGACAATATTGGTTCATCTTTACGGATGCTGAAACTGGGAATATTGTGCATGGTGTGTGCAGTGTGTATAATGATGCGTCTTGTTTGCAAAAACATTGACGCACTTGTTGTGGGCCGTTGCAGCAACCGGTTGTCAATGGAACTTCTTGGTTCGACATTTTTGTCAAGTTAAAAATGCGTTTGACGTGATTTTCTGCGAGTGGGCACGTCTCAGTGTTTGCGCTGCATGCAGAAAAAAAAATTGCATCATCTTTGGGCTGAAAGATATGACTACGCGTTAACTATAAGCATGTTTACCATTGCCGAAGCTGTCTATACGCTTCGCCCCTGGGAGTACGCAAACCCAATAAAAATATAACTCGTTTTATCGGAGACCTCATATGCATTAGTGGAAACATTGGAGGCTTTTGTTTCAAATCTACTTCGTACCCTTATGGCTCGATATTTATGAGGTGACGATGCGCACTGCATGTTTGTGTGTCAGGTCTTAAAAGAGCAATGTAAGTATGTATATACGTTGTAGTCATTAGATGCAGCTATGTAACCACGCAAAATATTACGTATACAAATAAGATATTGAGTTTAAAATTGCACAAATTTTCAGTGGGCAATGAGGAACGGCGCCGATGACTTTGCTTTAATTTTTAGGACAATTCGTTAATCTCAATCTAACGCACAGCCAAAAGTGTTTTCATTTTTTTTTTTCAGTCCATCTTTGATCATAATATCGCGACGTGATTGAGAATCTTGACCGTGACCTCTCGCACGGCAGACCAAAACCATGCTGCTGCCAATGCTGTGCCTCGTTTAAACTGCAGTGCACGAAAATTCAGTATGTTTAAGTGCATATCCTGTCAATATTTCTCAAAGCATCCGTCACCGTCAACATGCAGAATGTTCACTTTTGAAAAGGAAAAAGTTTTTTCTAATGGCTGCCATGCACAATGACCAAATTACCGCATGTTTAACGTAACAGAATCATACATTATGGCCAGTGACCCTTCATATTAGTGGCTTTAAAAAACAACCATTCGCCGGAATTTCTGTTTGAGGAAAGCAGACACATGCAGCCCTGCTATGCAGAAAGATACTGTCAGTGGAACTGTCTTGCCAACAAGTCCGTGCGCCGAGGGAGGAAATGGTGGGCGTGGTGATCGCATTAATGTTGCACTGTTTGCAAACAAGGAGAGGTATATTGAAAATTGTTAGAACCTTTAATTTGCAAGTGGACTAACAAAAAATGCTATGCTATTACATGGGATGTGTTGTTGGAAGGCCCTTGCAGATTATGCAAATGTGTACAAGATTTTGATTTAACTGTTCGCTTGTGAATCAACAGGAATTCTACGCATACACGCTTTTGATACACCATATTTTCTGAGCATGAGTTGTGTCCTGTTATTACAACAGAGATTGAAAAAGCTCTCTTCTTTTTTTGATCCCTTCACTATTTTTAACTTTCAACACAACTGTACTCAAGTCAACTGCACTGAAAGTGCTTTGGCCAAATGCATTCTTGCTTTGAGACGATGCAGGTGGAAAGTCTAGACACTGACACACAGTTCCTATGAACTCGTGTTCACAGCACAAAGGTAAGAAGTTTTCGTTCTTATTTTAACATGTGTTGTAGCCTGTGAATAACTTAGGCAAATTATATTTAATTACAAAAAATTTATTTGAAACATGGGCTCTGCTCGAAATTAACAGATAGAAGAAAGAGGTCTCATTACTACTTATGCACATTTTCATACCTTCAGCACAAAGCTGAAAACAAGATGTGGTCATTACAAGCATGGAACAACTGTGCGTTGACCACGAACAGGTAGTCACACCTGCTAAGTGTTAAGCCAAGTTCGAGGAACCAACAAGGAACAGCAACCAACAAAATAGAGAGCTTTAGTTTGCCCACTTTATTGCCATTTGCAGATCACCAAGGTATTAAAGGCGTAAATGTGAGAGGCCCAGATATAACTTTTGCATAGCTACCTTATAGTGGCCAGGTGGTTAGCATGTGAGGACCCCATCGGCAGGACTCTGCATTAATACTGCTTGCGGGTGATTATGCAATATCGAACAAAGCATGGCTGGTCAACTTCTTAAATTTCAAAATTTTGTATATTATTGCTTGATCAGTGGAAAGAAGAAATCCGTGATCAGTTTTGCGGTAAAAAAGTTTTTTTCGAAGGACAGTAAATCAATAATGATGAAGAGGTGGTGTGCCACGAGTACCTGCTCTGCTGTTTTTTTTTTTTTTGCGAATTTGGTGATGCATTACACAAAACATATTAAAGCTATGTACCTCACATTTGTTTAGCTCAATATAGGCATACTTGCACTTACGATCAATTATATTCCGATTCTCTGTATAGTCTACATTTTTAAAATAAAATTTCCGAAATTTGACCTAAAAACGTTTTTTTTCTTTTGCCTAGTTTGCAGGTCTTCATTTCAAACAAAACAAATATTCCTCATTACTTTCTCAGCATGCTTATTTATAAAACTGCCAAAGCCTATATTAATAACGCTTTTCAATCAAGATATAATCGCGCGAACTTCAAGAGCATGCAAAGGAAACTTCTGGCGACGATTAAGAAAAATTGCTTTTTTTAAAAATGCTTTCCCCACTTATTCTGCACACGAACTTTCGCGATCAATATAACGTGTTGCATAATATGGTTTCACTTTCAGTTATGGCCCGTGAAAAAGTTTCCTTGCGAAAAGATAGGCAACGGTAGACCGGATTACCTGCCCGCAAAGTGTGGAATTCAGGCCTATACTTCAGTTTCTTAGAAGGCAAGCAGCACTGAAATAGCTGTAAGACGGGAGCGGCCATGGGTGCGAGATTAACGAGCAAGCAAGCGCGCACAGTCCGGCGTGTTCTGTGGCAAAGCGGGCTCGTTTTGGTATCCTCAGGCGGATTGGTTGCGATACAGCCGGGGGCAACTTCCACGCATGGGTATCGGAGCATTTATTTAATAATACTTCTCTCCCCCGCCCTTTGCTCGCATAGTAGCCACGCGCTTTTAAAATTGCGGACGTAGCAGACATTCTTTGCACTTTTTGTGTGTGAAAGCACGTCTACAATACGTACTTGTATATTTAAACAAAAGCGTCCCGAGGTGACTGATCTAACTTGGGCACGGCAGGATTGCAACGCATATGTTTGGCGCGTAAACAGACGCAATCGGCCAAGGTCACAGATACGCGCGCCTGGAGCTCAAGTTCCCCGACCGCATTTGGCGCCCGCACAAGAAACACTTCCAGGAATCGACGTGGAAGCAGTGCGTACCCTCGGTGGGAAGCACCTGAAAACTCTTGTCAGGAAGCTGTGAGCGCCTCGCACGCGGGTGACAGCTGCGCGCTTTAGCTAGAGAAGCTGCGCTGCGCGAATTGATCTGAGTGAAAACCATAAAGGTGATGCTCCAAAGGCCACTAGTGGGTGCGCCCGCCCATCTCAGATGACGGCAGCAGACGTACTGGCCTGGCCGTGTCCGCTTCTCACACTGGCGCTTTGCTCTGCTGTTGTGCGTTTCGTGGCGGCAAAGTATAGCTCCTAGCAAAATTATTGTGCAGATTACCATTCGAAGCACAAGAAACTCATTTCAAAGACACGAAATTTCCGCAGAGTTACCGACTTGTACATCATAGCTTGATGCTGCAGTGCCACAGTGAATCCCGCGTACAGTCATTCACCACTCTGTTTATTACTGCTAATTTGCAGCGGCAAGACATAATTACTCAATGCAATAGCATGCCAAATTGAAAAGCCGTCCGCGATCACAAATTTCATACAATCTTTTGACCCACATGTGCTCAATTTTGCGCGAAAGCCTTATTCGACGGTCCCTCTTCACACCGGAATACGAGACTGTACGCGCTTGCTTGCTCAGTAATCCCGCACTCATGGCCACTCCCGTGACCAAATAATTTCATCCCCAGTGCAGTCGAAAGCTATTTCAGTGCTGCTTGTCTTTCGAGAAACTGAAGTATATAAGGCCTGCATTCCATACTTAGCGGGCAGGAAGTCCGGTCTACATTTGCCTATCTATGCGCAAGGGTATTTTTTGACGGGTTGTAACTGCAAGTGGAACCGTAATGTGCAACATGTTAAATGCGAAGCATTTCTTAGCGAACTTCGCTGACTTTGAGTGTCTCTATCTATCTATCTATCTATCTATCTATCTATCTATCTATCTATCTATCTATCTATCTATCTATCTATCTATCTATCTATCTATCTGTCTGTCTGTCTGTCTGTCTGTCTGTCTGTCTATCTATCTATCTATCTATCTATCTATCTATCTATCTATCTATCTATCTATCTATCTATCTATCTATCTATCTATCTATCTATCTATCTATCTATCTATCTATCTAGCCGCCTACGACTTTTAGTTCTCCTGGCCGCTTCGATAATGGTATTGATACCAAACTTGGTATGCCATAACGTGACTGTATAAAGAACATATTCGACTAGTCATAACATGAAAATCATGACATGTAAGTCATCAATGTCATGATTTACATTTCATGCTGAGTGGTTTCATGGTTGAGTGTCTCTATCTATCTATCTATCTATCTATCTATCTATCTATCTATCTATCTATCTATCTATCTATCTATCTATCTATCTATCTATCTATCTATCTATCTATCTATCTATCTATCTATCTATCTAGCCGCCTACGACTTTTAGCTCTCCTGGCCGCTTCGATTATGGTATTGATACCAAACTTGGTATGCCATAACGTGACTGTATAAAGAACATATTCGACTAGTCATAACATGAAAATCATGACATGTAAGTCACCAATGTCATGATTTACATTTCATGGTCCTGCAGCTCTTGCGGTGGTTTCGTTCACATGCCATGCTGTAAAACTGGTATGGTATGACATGGTTGCATGGTGGATACAAGTGGCATACCCTAACATGAAAATCATAACATGCGTGTCATGTAACAACATGACTACATGCCACGCGCATGATGCGCTCGTGGCCGTTTCGCTAGCGTCACATATACCAAATTTGGTATTACGGTACGTGAATGGATGACGAAGGTATAATGCTGGTGCAAACATGATAAACATGAGATGCGTGTGATGTAGCAACATGACTACATGTTACGCTCATGATGCGCTTGCGGCCGTTTCTCTAGCTTCACATGTACCAAACTCGGCATTACGCGACAGGAACGGATGACATATGTAAATGACCCATCCAAACATGATAATCACGACATGCGGGTCATGTAACAACATGACCAGATGCCACACACATGATGCACTCGCAGCCGTTTCGCTAGCTTCACATATGCCAAATTTGGTATTTACGTGACGCCAATGAATAACGAAGGTATGCCACTAATGCGAAC